CCCCCCCCCCTCTTTTTTGACACTTTGTGGTTCTCGAAGACGGTACAACCGATCAAGCTGAAATTTTTACCACAGATAGAGCATCAAAAATAACGAGATACGTGTTCGAGGAAAAAAAATTTAAACTAAGTTTTCGAGGGGTTTTCTGGAAAACTCTGGTTTTCCAGAGGTCCGCATCCTGATACATTACGACCCCCCTTAAATTTTGCCCGATTGGGCTGAAATTTTGTTTATAGACGCCCAACACTATTCCACAGAGGTAAAATTAAGGATTTCCAAAAATCTCACTTTCTTTCTTTTTTATAAGAGAAATAGAGCAAGGTTTGAATTTGTGCTTCGGGTCTTGGCTTTTGCGAGCCTGTAACTTGGAGTAGGAACATCAAAAATGAAAACGCTCGATTTTACCTCTGGAGAATACTCTCAAGTGTTAGTGGTAAAAATTTCAGCTCGATCAGACAAACTAAAAAGGGGGTCGTAATGTATCAAGATGTAGAAAATCGCTGTTTTCCAAAACGCTAAGTAAATGAAAAAAATTTACATACGATTACTATGAAAAAAAATTTTTTCTCGATCTAATAAATAGGTAAAAGTAAAATGTTTCGAGTCGAATAATGTCTCCAGTTGTAGGTGGCACCTCAGGCTATCATACCTTGGGCTCAGCTCAAAATCGAATTTTGGGTCAAAAAAGAGGGGGGGGGGGTACCCTTAAGTGAACAACAAATATATGAATTGGCAACAATAAAATTGAGTGGTCCTGCTCAAGAATGGTTTTATCATCAAGATGAAATTGATAATTGGTCTTCTTTCAAAGAAGCTTTCTTATACGCTTTTCCACCACCAATTCAACCAACCAACATTGACTATTTAGCTCAATTGCTAGCACGCAAACAAGGTGAAACAGAACCAGTTGGCAAATTCGTACAAGACATCAATCGTCTATGCCTTAAATTGGATAACAAGATCAGTGAACAAGATAAACTTCAATATCTTCGAAGAGGTCTTCGTCCACAACTTAAGCATTATGCATTATCGATTAGCTCATTACAAGATTTTCTTACAGTAATGCAACGACACGAACAAATAGAAAAGGAAACAACATCAAATCAACAATCATCATCAAGATCAAGTCAACAACTACAATTATTAAATCGTCCAGATCGCAATAATTACAATCATCAACAAAATAATCATTCAACATATTATGAATCATCTGATTATTATTATAGAAATTCACATGCTCAGACATCTGCACAACAACAAGCAAATAATTACCCTATATGTTATCAATGTAAGAAACCGGGTCATCTACGAAAGGATTGTCCGGATATCAACTCTTCTCAATATAATCAACAACATTTTCAACAAGGGAGTCACTAGATGGTTGTGCCTCCGTCAATTATATTCATTATCCCTCACCTTTACACTTTATTCATGTACCTGTTAATAATCGAATAATGGAAGTACTCGTGGATACAGGTGCAACCAACAGCATCATCCAGCAAGCATCTCTTGCTAACATACAACATCAACAATTTTATCCGGTACAACAACAATATTTTTTTGGCGAATAAAACATCAATCTCTATTATTGGATATGTAACTTTGGAGATAAAAATTCAACATATTCGAACATATGTAACAGCAGCAGTTACAAAAACTTTATGTTGTGATCTTATCTTAGGTGAAGATTGGATCAAGTATTATCGGACAACAATAAATCGTTTTAAAGATAGACTTGAAATTTTAGGAAATAAAGCTGCAGTATCTCTTCAACCATCATCTATTATACCAAATGATAAAAATTATCGTGTAAATTATGATAATCGATATTATAAAAATTATCGTGTTCATCACGGTAATCGATATTATAAAAGTTATAAATCTATACCAAATCAATATGTACCCAAAATACCACGAGTCTATGGGCTTTTTTATTTCAAACTGAATTCTAAAATCAAAAAAACCGCACCAACTTCTTCCGAATCAAACTTTTCTCGTTTGATACTACGTAGTCCCACTAAAAACCCTTAGTCCCCCCTAGTCCTGCAAAGTCCCCCTTAGTCCCCCCCACAAAAAGCTTAGTCCCCGCTTAGTCCCTTGTGCAGGGGACTAAAGCCTATAGTACACAAAGCCACAAGCACACCCTCACCCTCACTCGCGCGCCCACACCCGCACCATGGGTGTGGGTGTGTGTGTGGGTCCCAGACCAACACCCACACCCTCAGTCAC